GTGTGATGAACGCAGTTTTCTCGCGGTCCGATTCGTCGACGCTGATCTGCCAATACCCCGAGCGTAGGTCAATGCAGGAAAAATATTCAGCGCAATATAAGCAATCGAGAGTATCGTCGATACGGGGCAGAGGGTACACATCTTTTTTTGTTATCTTGTTTAATTTGCGGTAATCGACGCAGAAGCGCCATGATCCGTCCTTCTTTTTTACTAAGAAGACAGGAGAGGACCAAGGACTTGACGAGGACTGGACAACGTTTTGTGACAGCATCTTATAACTTCATGTTGGATAGCGCGGCGTTCGCTCGGTGATACTCGGAAAGGACGGTGGTGTATTGGAGGTTCAGTACCGGTGTCGATTCGGTGAGTAACTGCATTTGTCTGGCCAAGAGGACGACTTGGAAAGTCAAAGATTGTGTGGTACTTGGAAAGTAGGTCGTGAAGTTGATGGATCTTATCCTCGTCCAAAGTCAGATCAATCATGGTTGTAATGCTGGCCAAGGCAGGGCTCGATAGTTGCGTTGCGACGGTGCTTTCTGATTGTTCCTCGGAAATGGCTGCGACGACACAATTGATTGGAGGGAAACTTCGCGCAATAGTCCTACCTTTCGGTAATATTTGATGACTCTGACCAATATTGACTACCCATAAATCTGTGGCACCACTTTGGATAGTTGCGACGCAGTGTGGAAATGCAACTTGCCTTTCAAGCAAGATGCTCATATTCGGTGTGATAATGTAGTCACCGTCTTCGATCGAGTGGGTCGTTGTGACATTTATGGCGGCAGCAGACAAGGGAGGAATGCGTGATGTCTCAAGACAACATAATCTGAACACAACCGAATCAGAAACGTCGCAGGACTCACTGGTATCGAGCTCAATCTCGCCTTTGGCACAGTAGATGAGGGCCGAATGTGAGGAGAGAAAGTTCCAGCTGAGGATGATCTCGTGGGGACAGGTTATAAGGACTGTAAAAAGGATGAAGGTAGCCTTGTTGTTAACAATTATGCGAGCGCCGCACATGCCATGAGGTGAAATAATGCCGCCATCTGCACCGCGGAGCGTTTTCGTGTCAGGTGGCGTCAGTACTTTTCGTAAGCGTCGTCGGAGGTCTTCGCGCATTATGGAAATTGCGGCTCCAGTGTCGACAAGGGCTAATGCGCTAATACCGTCAATATGAACCATGAGTCGATTATGAGATGTAGCGACGATATTCTGTAGAGGATTTTCGTCTATAAACTGTGATGCAGCCTCACCTCCTGAAGCTGCATGGTTCAGTTTTCCGAGGGTCGAAGATCATGGGACGGCGAAACGGGGCAGCGAACGAGTGGGGACAATGATTGGCGGCGACGCGGGGACTGAGGGCGAGGGTTCCGCGATGAGCGATAGAATGTTGCATCTTGGCTTGGGTAGTCATCAGAGGGTGAAGCGAAGTTTCTATTGTAATAACGACCTCATTGGTGGGTAGAAACGTCCGGTTGTTTGGTTGTCGGTTGTTCCAGCGATTTCGACAGTAGCGGGCGACGTGACCAGCCATACCGCAAGTAAACAAATGGGTCGGTTTTCGGGGGTCCTCCACGTGGCGGGATCACGTCGGTGGTACGGTCTGAAGGATGGCGTCGCAGTTGAAGATTCACAGGCGCAGCATTGGGGTGTCTGTGCCTGTTGATCAAATGCTGGTCGAAGACTTGGACGCGGCGAGCCGCCGAACTTCTCTATTTCTTGCCTAACGACAGTTTTAACGGCGGCGATGGATAACTCGCTAGTCGATGAGCGGGGAGACGGGGAAACACCGTCAGCGGGCATCATCGCCTCCAGTTCTTGGCGGACGATTTTCGTGACGCGCTCTGTGTTAGTATCAGGGTCTTCACAAGATGATGTTGCCGGGGTGTTTGGCAAACGGTAGAATTTGAGCGCTATCCTGCGAGTCTTTGCAGCTTCGAACCTGCGGCACTCTTTCAGGACGTCGTCGACAGTCGAGCAATCCTTAATGACAAGTAGCTGGAAGGCATCATCTGCGATGCCTTTGAGGATGTGTTCCATCCGTTCGATTTCTGGCATTTCGGGGTTAGCTTTCCTGCACAGAGATAGGACGTCTTGGATGTAGGTCAAATATGACTCGGTCGATGTTTGGACTCTGGATGCCAGCTTTCGCTTGGCCGAGAGCTTGCGACCGGTTGGACGTCCGAAGAGGTCCTGGAGCTTGGCTTTGCAGAGGTCCCACGACGTTAGTTCCTCTTCATGCGTTTCAAACCATGTTCGGGCGGTATCACGCAAGTAGAATATGACATTCGCCAGCATGATAGTGCCATCCCAGCGGTTGTGGACACTTACTCTTTCATAGAGGTCTATCCAGTCTTCAACCTCCTAATCTCCTGTGCCGGTGAAAAGGCCAGGATCTCGCGGTTTGGCGATAACCAGTGAAGGCTGCGGCGGAGCTTGAGCGCCTTCGGGTGGTGTTTCGGAACTGGAAGTCATGTCGGTGGGAGGTTGGCGACGTCTGCTTCGTGTGTCCAGGTCGGAGCCGATCCGCACCTCCACCAAAGACTGTTACGGTGGCTTTATTTACAGACGATTAAGGAGGGTTGTAGGAGAAGGATGAGGTGGGTGCTTCGAACTTGAGGGATCCGGTGATGGGGCACTTCTTCCTTTTTCCCTGTCTGATTGCCCGTCTTTGTTTCCTTCCTCTTCGTAAGAATATATATATATATATATTATTTTTTTTTTAAGTGGAATCGGACTCTTCTACAAGGGCGCTCCCTGCTACGTCGATGCGGTCTTCATTACGGGATTCGTGAGCTCGACGAACAATGGAGAAGCGAACAATTATCATAGTTTGTTCGAAAGTTACTTAAACTTCGTTGATTAGCATTTTTAATTAGTGGCTTGAAAGACCATTATGCAAATGCAATCTTGAAGACAGCCTACATCTTTTAAAGCAATTCACAGAATTACAAAATACATCACCAGATTGGAAATTTTCGTCCACAATTTTGGCCCCTCTTTACTGCAGTTTCAAGAAGTGCTCCAAAGTAGCAAGAAAAGTTCTATTTTCGTGTCCTTGTATGGGACTGACCGGTTACGTGCAATAGTTGTACAAGTTCACTTGAACCGTTTCTTATTTTTACGTTCCCGAATGTGAAAAAAAAAATTGGGTTGTGTGTGTGTTTATACAGCCTAGAACTTGGTCTGCCTCACAGGGGCGACGAGTCTCCCAGCTGTAGATGAGAAATTTAGCCAGTGCGGTACAGCCGCTAGCCTGGGGTCTTTAACGTGCACCACGCAGTAGTGATACACGACCGCACGCCAGTAGTGTATTATGATACACGATTGAGCCGGAAGTAAACAAAATCTGGTCACGTACACGGAAGTAAACAAATGCCGCGCACGTACTCGGCACGTGCCTGGGTTCCATCCTGTATCATCCTCCCACGTGACCATGACGTCACGTTCCCACGCCCCGTTCCCACGCCTTCTCCCATAGCCCGGTCCTTGGACCCCAAATTTCGGGAGCTGTCAATCATTCGGCAGAGTCACATGATGATGACGTCAGAGGTCGGGTGGTCCTCTCCCATAACCCGGTCCTCGGACCCCAAATTTCGGGACCTGTCAATCATTCGGTAGTCACGTGATGATGACGTCAGAGGTTAGAACGACACTCGGCACCATCCCACGTGATGTCCCATGGCTCCATCCTCGGCCCCAAATTTCGGGACCTGTACAGAAATGAGTGTGTTCCCAGAGGGTACGAATTAACTTGAGAGGGTGACGTCACATGATGATGTCATAACGTGGGACGGTCACATGACGACGAAGGACATGTGACATTTGAATCGCCGCGCGGTAAATGTATTTTATTCGCTAAAAAAGGCTCTGCGGCGGCTGGGAATCGACCTCGCTACCTTGAGCACGGAAGCCCGACACCCTACCCCCTGCGCTATAAGCACATTGCTTCCCAGAGCTCTTAACTCATCTTAGTTGTCCGTGTGTGCAAATCAGATCACGTGTTTTCCTGCTGCTTGGATTTTGTAGCGGAATTGCTGACTCATTCACCGCAGGGCGCTACAGGGAAATGTGATGACGGAAGAGTTCAGGATTGTTGAGTCATCTGCCAGGAGGGAAAATGCACTGTCACGATGACGTCGCAGATATGTCGTCCGTCGTCGTGGCATTAGTCAAGAGAAATACATTATCGCGTGTTTTCCCTGGAGGGTCATGTGACCAGCGTCACGTGATATTTGAATCGCTGCGCGGTAATGTCTTACCAAAATATTCTTTCTCCTAGCTGGATTCGAACTCAGAGAGTCGGGATTGAAGCACAAATTCTGCATGTGAAGATCGCATCTCATATTCTCGATTTCGCGCGTGCACAGTTTAAATCCGGGCTTTAGGCGTACGAGTTGACATCTCGGTTCATAGATGGCGCACGTCTTTTTTGCTAAACGTCTTCGTTGTTAGGGCATCAGCGACATCTTGCAGCATGGGTCTGACCTTGTGCCATCTGTTGCTAAAAAGTTAAATTGTGCGTGCTCCTAAGGTGTGTCCATCCGTATTTTCGCGCGTGCGCAATGCGTCTGACTTACCGAATCCGCTTGTAGATGGCGCGCACCTGAATCCCTTGGATGGCGTGAACTTTTACCATTATCACGCGATATATCTCGATAATGTTAGCGGCAGCTTTGTAGATGTCGACAACTCTCGCTAATTTTAGCTGTCTGCTGTATCGAGCAACGTGAGAAATGAACCGGAGCATGGTCGCATCCATACGGACCAAAGACGAGACAGATATGGTGTTTCACTTTTTTATTTTCATTCGCTCTAAAAAAAGAAAAACAAAACAAAAAAAAACACGCACACATTTAAATACAAATAGGGCTTTTAAATTTACTCTACGCGACAAAGAAACCAATTGAAACACTTTGCACAAAAATGTGCAAGACAAGCAATAACGCGAAAAAAAAAAAAGTTGTCGAATAGCAATACAAAAAATATTTACAAGGTCAGGATGTGGATGAGGAGGCTGATCGCTCGCTTCCTAAAACACTCTTATGGCCAAAAGGAAGCGTCGTAATCCCATCGTTGCAAATGTATCGCTTGTTGTCGAACGGATTCAGAGCAATCTTTTCGACCGCGATGCTTTTGTTCTCGTTAAGTTTTCGAGCAATCAAATGCTGCGTCACTCTGTGCAAAGTTTTCGTATCTAGAGCGTGCTTGTACAGTTCGTAGGTCAACTTGCGAGACTCGGATTTCTTTACTCCCTTGGCTCTTACGCAACACGTGTTGCTGCTTGTTTTGAAGCTGTATAGCTTTGGTTTCAAGCAACAAAAAGCCACCAAGTGAGTAGTCGGATATTCGTTTTTTAACACGCCGAGCTTCATTTTGTTTTCGGTTGAAAAAAGTTTGTGACTCTCTGGATATCCAGATGTATCCAAGCATGCGTCTCGGAGTTGGAGGAGTTTGTCGTCTACGTCTGATCCCTGAAGGTGTAGGAAGAAGGAATCCGTGTCGCAGTAAAGAGCCCTCGCTGAGGGGATCGCACGACGAAGTTGATTATAAAAGAAGTCGTACATTACTATTTTTGATATCTCAAGAATCGAGAACCCTGCGTAGAGTGGTTGCTTGAGTTTGATCACTTTCGGAGCAAACTGGAAAATTACGACCTGCGAGCTAAGTGCTCGAAACTGCGTCAGGTTCGGTTTCTGAAGCATTTTCAGTATGTCGTCCTCTTTAACACATAGTTTAATGTGTCCATGTTTACGTGCATTCTCGATCGTCTTGCCATATATGCTGTTCATGAACAGTTTGGAAAGATTCTTCTGGAAGGAGTTGGTTGCTTGCTGTCTCAGCTGGTGGTTAAAATCAATAAACTCCCTCAAGAACGCTCGCTGTGAGAATTTTAGGACTCGGTGAATTTTGGTGACTTCTAGTCCTAACTGGATGTACAGTTTCAAAATCCGATAGTGTAAAACGTATTTCGTTTTGTCGTGAAGTGTGAGCAACAGCTTCGTAGTGGGTTCCTCTTTGGGCATTTCAAACTTGTCAATCAGACTTTTTTGATAGTCGGATAACCAATCGTAGGGAACGCTTTGCTTCACCGGGGCCAAGGGAAAGTCGGAATGAGTCTCGTGCAAGTGATGAGGATACCTGAGGTCTACTTCCAGAATGTAGCCCGTCGGAGCGTCATCTGGAACGTCACCAATGTTCAGGCAGGCAATCTCGTCTTTCGTCATCCACTCAAAGTCCGACACTGGCAGGGCTTCTCTCATTGTCGCCGCATACAGACCGTTGACGTCCAAGTCCAAAATCTGAGACGGTTCGTGATGCGGGTTAAACGTATCCGTTCCCGGAACATTTGCGACAGCATGACGGGTCGTGCATTGGGTAATCCCTCCGCGAATACCCTGTTCTATCATGAGATAGGTGTCAGGATCGTCAATTAGCTGCAGTCTTACTTTCGACTGTTTCAACGCACACGACAAGCTTAGGGACGGTAACGATACGAAATGTAGAGCCTCAATTTCGTACGTCTCCAGCGTCCACCGTCTAAAGTTTTGGAAAACGTCGGCCAGTAGGAGGCAGTCCGTCTTTAGGTACAGGTCGCTGTATTCTCCGAGGTTCTTCAAACCAAAGGTATCGAAAACGACCTGTGCGTGTTCGTAGTCCTCTTCACACACCCCGCTCCCAGTCAACTTGTTAAAAAAGGCCTCTCGTGGCGGGAGGCTTTGACCCTCGTAACTCTCAAAGCTTGTAATGAAATTATAACAAAACACTCCTTTGCGGGCAAGGAGGTCAACGTGCTCGGGAAAGGACTGACGAAGGCAACAAAAATGCTCTGTTCCTTTAGAGTGTAGATTTTGCACCAGCGTTTCCAGGCTTGCATTAAGAAATGCGAGACTGTCAATAAAGCGAAGGTTGCCTATCTCTAACAATTTAAAATTCTGGCACGAGCTTCCGAGTACGTTAATATCCTTAGATTCGAACAAATTAAGCCTGCCTAGAAAGAAGCTGAGGTCGTAGGAATGGTTATGCGCTATGAGTGGAACGGTATGTTTGTTGATTCGATGGTTTAGGTTACACTGGGAGCAAAGCGCCCGCCTATACTCTCCCGTCATGTGGTCGTGGTCGCGAGTTTTCATTTTCTTGCTAAAGCTTTCGTAGCAAATACCACAGCGGGAAAAGTCCGCGTGGGAAGCCTCGTTTTCTTGAGTCATTTCAAGAGGCACTTCACTCGACCTAATCAATCGGGGTATTTCCTTCGCTAGAAAGTTGAGAATCAAAATAAATCTTTCTACGCAGTCGGGTCCGCGATAAAGGTATTCCTCAACAATGGACGAATCGTTCGAGCGGATGACGAGAAGACAGAAAGAGCTGGGGACGTGATTCTCGTAAACATTACCCGTCGACTGAGTCGGTTCCAGAATCGCTTCGAAGTCGTAAACGCAATAAAAGGGGAACTCTTCCATGACATGCGTACTCCGAAAGTATAGTTCGTCACCCTTGTTTGGGAAGACGGTTTTGCCCGGCTTCTTGTCCCTACACATTGAGAGATGGTCAGACAGGGTTTCTTGCCTCTGAAACCCGGTCAGACACCTCTTACAACGAAAGCGTAGGCTTTTGGCATTTGAAAAAAGTCTCGCAAAGTTTGTAATGCCCACAAAATGATTCTCAACAAGGAGAAGATCGACATGCTGCTCCAACTCGTTATCAACTACCTTCAGTGGGTAGACAAAGTTTTTCTCGCTGTCATAACCAAACACATTCACTGAGACACAATTATTTCGCTCAAAGGCCCCCACGTCCTGCGGGAAGGTTACAGGGAACGTTTTCGGAAACACATATTTGCACATATGTTCACGATACGAGGATGCTCTTCCTCTGTAAAACCCGCTCGCAGGATGCAAAACGGCGAGCACCGCAAACACAAAGCACATGTCCCGTTCAGATTCGTGAAGACGCTCAGTGACACTGACAAGGCATTGCTTTGAGGCAAGTTGCTTCGGTAGAGAAAAATGTCCGCAACCAACGGTCGGGGGAAGGAATCGGCCCAAATTAATAGTACAAACTTTGATCCCGACAAGAAAGAATCCCGAGCCTTGTTCCTGATAATGCTCCAACCGGGCAGCTATTTCAGTGGAGACTCGCTGAATTAAACTATTGATATTACCGTCCACAAATGCGGTTTGGACCTGACTATGAAAAAAGTGCACAGTCACATCAATGTCGTCGTCAGGAAGGAGACGTCCGAGCTCGACAGTGAGTGTCACAAAAAAACGCAGAGGCAGACCAAAATGTCTGAGCACCTTTTTTAGGCATCGTGCAGAGCATATGTCAAACGTGCTCAGACATTTTGGTCTGCCTCTGCGTTTTTTTGTGACACTCACTGTCGAGCTCGGACGTCTCCTTCCTGACGACGACATTGATCCCTATTGAAAAAACCAGCTTAAGCTGGTCCCAGCTTCAAGCTGGGTTATTGCCCCAGCATGCCCAGCTTGGCATGCTGGTCATGCTGGTTGATCTGGTCATACTGGTCATGATGGTTGATCTGGTCCCAGCTTCAAGCTGGGTTATTGCCCCAGCATGCCCAGTTTGGCATGCTGGTCATGCTGTTAAACTGGTCATGCTGGTGAACTTCCCAACCAGTTTAACCTGTTTAAATTAATACACAGAATAAAAAAGCCAAGCTCGTCAGAAAAGCCAACTCGGCATCCAATTTATTATTTTCGTACTTGCGGCAGCCTCACATGAACTCAAATGCTACACATCCTCGGCGCTGACACAGTACTAACCGACGCACAGATTCTCGGTGCAAATTGTCTACAATGTTAATAAAACCAGATTGCTTATCTCTCAACACGAAAAAAATACTAGACACAGGCCAAAAACAGGCAATAGCAGACGAAAATACTACACGGACGAGAGAAGCGAACCTGGGTCCCGCCAGCGATGGGGGCGAAGCGGCAACTTGCGTGGTCGGCAGAGGCGAGGAAATCCGTGTGGCTTGGATGGCATTGGCGATACTCCTCGGCACCGCCGTCATTCTTGGGCACACACACGTTCGAAGACACGAAGCGACGCCGCAGTCGGGACGTCTGACATCTTCCCGCACTGAACGGACTGCCGCTCGCTGTCTTCTCAAAACCCGCTTCGCTTGCACCGTCGTTCAACTAGTCTCCAAACAACGCGCACACAGCCGTCCCTTCGATCTGCCCTCTGCCCAAGCTATCCAAACGCGTCTTCGATTCTCCGTTTCTACCACTCTCTCTCTCTCTCTCTCTTTTCTCGCACACAAAGGTAGCTTGCAGCGCGCCTGACGCGCCCGGTGGTCTACCAAAAACTAGAGGACAAAGAACAGGACGTGGCCTCGTTCCAGCAGCCGACCTTGTCGCGCGCGCTCCCAGCAATGCCAGTTCGGCTATCTCTAGCCGACCTTGGCGTGCGCGCTCCCAGCATGACCAGCTTGACCACCACGATTATTATTTCGACCAGATTCACCAGCTTGTCTCCCAGCATGACCAGCTCGTCTCCCAGCTTGACCACATTGGCTCCATGGAAAACCAGTTTGACCAGTTAAGACCAGACTGGCTCCCAGCTACACCAGATTGAATCTAAAACCAGATTCGAGTGAGACCATGCTGGTTTTTACTTAGACCAGACTGACCAGCTTAAATTCCAGCTTGCCCAGCTTAAACCAGCTTGATTGCCAGCTAAACCAGTTTAATTACCACATTGACCAGTTTGACCACCTTGATTACCAGCTTGACCACCTTAATTACCAGCTTGACCAGTTTGATTTTCATGCTGGTTTTTCCAATAGGGATGTGACTGTGCACTTTTTTCATAGTCAGGTCCAAACCGCATTTGTGGACGGTAATATCAATAGTTTAATTCAGCGAGTCTCCACTGAAATAGCTGCCCGGTTGGAGCATTATCAGGAACAAGGCTCGGGATTCTTTCTTGTCGGGATCAAAGTTTGTACTATTAATTTGGGCCGATTCCTTCCCCCGACCGTTGGTTGCGGACATTTTTCTCTACCGAAGCAACTTGCCTCAAAGCAATGCCTTGTCAGTGTCACTGAGCGTCTTCACGAATCTGAACGGGACATGTGCTTTGTGTTTGCGGTGCTCGCCGTTTTGCATCCTGCGAGCGGGTTTTACAGAGGAAGAGCATCCTCGTATCGTGAACATATGTGCAAATATGTGTTTCCGAAAACGTTCCCTGTAACCTTCCCGCAGGACGTGGGGGCCTTTGAGCGAAATAATTGTGTCTCAGTGAATGTGTTTGGTTATGACAGCGAGAAAAACTTTGTCTACCCACTGAAGGTAGTTGATAACGAGTTGGAGCAGCATGTCGATCTTCTCCTTGTTGAGAATCATTTTGTGGGCATTACAAACTTTGCGAGACTTTTTTCAAATGCCAAAAGCCTACGCTTTCGTTGTAAGAGGTGTCTGACCGGGTTTCAGAGGCAAGAAACCCTGTCTGACCATCTCTCAATGTGTAGGGACAAGAAGCCGGGCAAAACCGTCTTCCCAAACAAGGGTGACGAACTATACTTTCGGAGTACGCATGTCATGGAAGAGTTCCCCTTTTATTGCGTTTACGACTTCGAAGCGATTCTGGAACCGACTCAGTCGACGGGTAATGTTTACGAGAATCACGTCCCCAGCTCTTTCTGTCTTCTCGTCATCCGCTCGAACGATTCGTCCATTGTTGAGGAATACCTTTATCGCGGACCCGACTGCGTAGAAAGATTTATTTTGATTCTCAACTTTCTAGCGAAGGAAATACCCCGATTGATTAGGTCGAGTGAAGTGCCTCTTGAAATGACTCAAGAAAACGAGGCTTCCCACGCGGACTTTTCCCGCTGTGGTATTTGCTACGAAAGCTTTAGCAAGAAAATGAAAACTCGCGACCACGACCACATGACGGGAGAGTATAGGCGGGCGCTTTGCTCCCAGTGTAACCTAAACCATCGAATCAACAAACATACCGTTCCACTCATAGCGCATAACCATTCCTACGACCTCAGCTTCTTTCTAGGCAGGCTTAATTTGATCAAATCTAAGGATATTAACGTACTCGGAAGCTCGTGCCAGAATTTTAAATTGTTAGAGATAGGCAACCTTCGCTTTATTGACAGTCTCGCATTTCTTAATGCAAGCCTGGAAACGCTGGTGCAAAATCTACACTCTAAAGGAACAGAGCATTTTTGTTGCCTTCGTCAGTCCTTTCCCGAGCACGTTGACCTCCTTGCCCGCAAAGGAGTGTTTTGTTATAATTTCATTACAAGCTTTGAGAGTTACGAGGGTCAAAGCCTCCCGCCACGAGAGGCCTTTTTTAACAAGTTGACTGGGAGCGGGGTGTGTGAAGAGGACTACGAACACGCACAGGTCGTTTTCGATACCTTTGGTTTGAAGAACCTCGGAGAATACAGCGACC